GGATCTTCAAATGAACAGAAATGAAAAATAACCAGAATAATGATAATAATCCTTGCATTTGATGGGTGGTAAGGGTGGAAATAGCTTTGGAGGCTATCTTTCAATCCTCCTTGGATATGGGCATGGTGCCAGAAGACTGGAGGTTTGCTAATGCTACACCCCTGTTCCAAAAAGGGGAGAGTGAAAAACCTGGTAACTACAGGCCAGTCAGACTAATGTCGGTAGTGGGGAAACTTCTAGAGGCTAATATCCAAGACAAACTTAATTTTCACTTGGAAAAACATGTATAAATAAAGGACAGCCAACACAGATTTGTTTAAGCCACATCCGTGCCATGATCCGCTCTGCCTTTCCCCACCTCCGCAACATCGCCTGGCTCCGCCATTGCCTCACCCCTCAGGCCACCGAACAATCATCCACGTATTCATCGCATCTAGGCTCAACTATGCCATCTCTCTGCTTATTGGCCTTCCCAAATCTTCCCTCCACAAGCTGCAGATCATCCAGAACTCTGCAGCTCATGTCCTCTCCCACATCAGGCTCCATAACCCCATCATCCCCACAGTGATCAAAGGCACGGTCAAAGGAGAAAGTGTTGAGACGGGTCTTGAAGGAGGCAGAGGGACTGCAGGGTGGAGTTCCAGACGGTGGGGGCAGAGTGGCTGAAGGCCCACCTGCCAATGTGGGGCAGGCGAGGCAGGGGACGTGAAGCAAGCCAGAGCCTGCTGAGTGGAGGGAGCGAGTAGTTGGTAGGGGGTTAGGAGGTCGCATAGGTAGGGGGGAGTAAGTCCATGGAGGGCTTTGAAGGTGAGGACCAGGATCTTTAACTATATCCTCTGTATGATGGGAAGCCAGTGGAGTCAGACCAGGATGTGGGTGATAGGGTCACGGAGCCTTGTGCGGGAGAGTACATGGTCTGCAGAGTTCTGGATGATCTGCAGCCTATGTGGAGGAGGAGTTGGGGAGTTCCAACAAGCAAAGAGTTTGCATAGTCGAGCCTCGATGTTATGAATGTGTCTCAGCGGCCTGCGGTTTGAGACAGTGGTGGAGCCGATTGATGTTGCTGAGGTGGGGTAAGGCGGAGCAGGTCATGGCACAGATGTGGGGTACAAAGGATAGTTAAGGGTCAAAAAAAACGCCAAAGTTCTGGACTGGCTTAGCAAGGTGGAGTGTGCATCCTTGGATGGTGATGTTGTCAGCACCTGAGGTGAGAAGGCGCTGATAGGAGCCAATCAGGAGAGCCTCGGTCTTGTTGATGTTCAACTGTAGAAAGTTAGCTCTCACCTAGGACTTGATGCCCGACAGACATTCTGTCAGGACAGTAGTGGATTTCATTTAATAGAGGTGTTCAAAATTATGATAGTTTTTTTTATCAGAGAGTTGTTACAGTCTGGAATGCATTGCCTGAAAAAGAGTGGTGGAAGCAGATTCAATAATAGCTTTCAAAAGGGAATTAGATTGTTACATAAAAAGGAAGAATTTGTAGGGCTCTAGCGTAAGAGCGGGGAAGTGTGACTAGTTAGTAGCTCTTTCAAAAAGCTGACACAGTCAAGATGGGCCAAATGATCTCCTTCGTTGCTGTAAAATTCTATGATTCTATGTTTTTATGATTGATATGGCACCTTATCCTGTCTTTGAGAAGTCTCAAAGCGCTTCACGGAATATACAGTAAAGTGAATTGACTGTATATTTTGTGGGCGAAACACAGCAGCCAATTGCACACAGTAGTGTCCCACAAACTGTCGTGGATTGAGTGACCAAATTACTATTATTTATTTATTTTTCGTTTTTTTTGGAGGGATTATTACCCCCAGAAAAGCGATCTGCTAATCGACTAACAACCAAGTTCCAACTTACTGCTAAGTAAACAGAGGTGTGTGGAGTAAGGAAACTTGCCCAATATTTCACCTTGCCCGGGAATCAAACTTAGGTCCTCTTGCTTGTGAGGCGAGTGCGCTAACCACAGGACTCCATAAGCACAGTAAAGTTCCTAATAATATTAACTAGTATCTTGTCTATTTTCCTGAGGACTCCAAAGTTTATCCAACATATCCTGAAAATGTTTAAGTTCTTTCGTAAACTTGCGTAACGTTTCGCTCTGCTAAGAATTCAAACCCAGGTTTTCTTGCTTGCGAGGTGACTACTCTAACCAATACATTTTAGGACTGCTCATATGCTCCAGGACTCTTAACTATCCAGAATTTAGATGTAAAGTTGTTTTTTCAAGGTTTAAATTAAATAGTATAAAGTAAATGGTACTTTTGAAATGCTTGAGACTAATCAAACTATTCGGTTTACTTGAATCCTTTACATAATCCTTTATATATGTTGCATGTGTCATTTATAATGATAGCTCCATCAATACACTGATTAGGAGATGCTACTTCCATGTAAATAGAGTATTAAAGCAAAGTGGAGCGAGGAGATGAGATCTATATGCATTCCATTTATTTAGTGTAATGGGGTTTTAGTTAAGATGTTGTGCCCACTAATTAAACCCTGTGATATATGTCTGCACAGATTAGAAATGTTGTTCTTATCTTAATGAATTTGCTGTGTTCATTATCTGGTAACAATAGGTGTACGATTGCTTTGACATTCTTAGTCTGCAATGATTCCAAATTAAGATTGAGTAGAGGAGTTCCTTGATTACGTGTTGTTTCAATCAAAGTGGCTCAGCTTCTGGAAATAATGTAAAATATACTTACAGCTCATTTCAAATATTTGTTTGTGTTAGCGGGTCTATCTGTGTCACAGATTCTGCTATTAATCATTTGACAGAACTATTTTTTGGAATTGAGTGGAGTTTGTGTTCAACTGGCCCTGGACCAGGCAATGAGTCTTAGTTTGGATCATTACCACAGATAGCCATTGCAAACATTAGACTTTTCAAACTGAGTGAGCTCTTTATCTGTTTTTGGTTACAGTTTCCAAAACCATTTTAGAAGGTAAGTTATATTTTTGAGGATGTCCAAAGCAACCTAATATTAAGACCAAGGTCTTCTGGTAATCCAGCAAGGTTCTCCTTCAAGATCTTGGTACCCACCCACTTCAGGCAATTGTGATTTTTATTTTAAATGAGCATGCTTGTTAAGAGACAGGATAGAAAAATAATCTACTATGCATCCCTGTCACTACAGCCACAGATAACCCGAGATCCCGTTTGCTTCTTCAGTTAAACATCTCATGGCACTACTCAAAAAAAGAATGGAGGTTTTTCCCCCATGTCTGGGCCACCAATCTCCCAAATAAAAATTGGACATTCACTTCACAGTTGTTTGTGGGACATTCTTATGCCGCGTTTTCTTACAAAATACACAGTCACTACACTTTACTCTAGATCCTGTTAAGCATTTTGAGACGTCCTTCCAATGTGAAAGTTATATTATTTCTACCACTGAAGCAATGTGAAACAAATGATGTGCTACAATTTACAGAATACTGTACTTGCATTGAACAAAAATGTATCCCACTCTATTTTACATGAAATGGTTTTCTTTCCTATTTTTCTGTTTCCTATCAATACTTACCTTCCTCCCTGCTACCTGCAATTGATATTTTTCAAACTGTATGCTATTTAAGTGCCTGATAGATGCCAATCCATCATCTAAAATTATTCTACTAGAAATTAATCAATAGCTGGAAAAATAACCAGGATGGGTGGGTGAAATGAGAGTGAGTGAGGCCAGGACATAGGATTCATCTAAGAAACAGCTGAATGTAATGGGAAGATGAGTGGGTTGTTACTGTGTAAGATGATGGAAAGAAAGATCTTTTTGACTCAAATCTATCTTCTGAAAGATTGGCGGACAAGGCCCTGAATTCCAATATTCACTCGGTTTCCGCCAATTACTTATCTCGAGTGTTCTTATGCAAGGAAGCTTTGCGATGCTATCTAAACCAATGTTCTCTTTCAAAGATCGATGAATACCTGTTGAAACTCGCATAACAGCAGCAAAGTGAAAATTGTCCTTAAACATGAATGGGCAGAAAATAAATCACACAACAGGGGAATGCTACTCTCTCAGAGGCATAATTCAGCAATATATCATAGCTCAAGTCCTATGAGTAGATGTGGTAGCATAACATGTTTCATCTCTGTGTCAGAACAAAGTGCACTATCAACAGTAACTCAGTGGAGATAATACAGATGCCTTTCATTGTTATGTACACAATAAAAGATCAGAAGTGAAGATGGTTTGTACTCCAGATATGTAGTATCTTGAAATTCGTTATTAAAATCTCTCCTGGAAATGTTATGTACAATAGCAACCTCTTTAGGATGGTTTAATACTCCAAGCATTCTCCTACATATGTTGTATAATACCTAGCTATTATAAACCCAATGTAGCCATTTAGATTGCAGTATTCATTACCTACCTTCACTGGAAAAGTGAAATATTTATAGAAATGGTGATGTGATCTTAAAATATTTCTAGGTTGTGAAATCCCATCAGAGTTGACTCTTTGAGTTTAATTACACTGCCTGAGAGTTGGCTGAAATGGTATTCATTCATTTTACTCAAGAGATTTTATTATGCAGTTCAAGAAATTATTTTTGAAATGTGTGATTTAACTACATTTAATGAGTCATCAGCAATATGTCAAGAGCAACTGACCTGATATCAGACTTCATAATCATATAGCAGTTCTAAATATTAAGAATACAATTACTTTTTCCATCTTATTAATATCTTAAATTCTACCCGTGGCAAATATCAATTATTGTGATTATATTTTTTGGGGGGAAGGAATAGCATTAAAACCAAATTGAAAAGAAAATATATTTGGCTGTAGTAAATTGATTTTATCATTATAATCTCAACTCTGATGATTTGTTAATTTAATCACTTAATATTTGATGCATAATGTTTTATCTTGCAGGATAATTATTTCAATCAAATGTACAATGAAGGCCAGAATCTAGGGAGCCATTGCTTTAATATGGTACTCTCATAATCTGTGCATCTGGTGATGTTATTTTTTATTGTTTTCTGCAGGTTTACCACTATTCTTACACTGCCTCATATGCTATTTATGATATACATACCAGGTTAGTACAATATCTCTTTCTGCAACTGCTCCAAATTGTTTTCTTAGTTTTCTTTTTGCTTTTGTAAGGCTCAAAACAAATGTTCTAATTGTGCAAGAATATTAGATAATAATCCTTTTATTTAAAACATGATCCAAGTCTTTAAATCTTGTAAGGTATAGATCACTTGGAGAAAATAGGTTATTTGATTTAAACTGGTAGCGGCACGAGATGATGTTGCTTTAAAATTAAAAAACTCACACAGGATTGAAGATTAGAAGAATTTGTTTCTTCCAACAGAATGGTGGGTGTGTGGATCAAACTAATAGATTTCTGCTTCCAAGCAGCTTTTTCTTAGACAAGAGCAAATTGATTGTACTTTATTCTTAAACTCTATCCTACAGTGTACATTATATTTCTTTTTTTCCTGTTCTATTTTTTAAAGGGAAGTGAGGGAACTGAATCCTCCAGAGGTGGCAAATTCTGTACTACAGCATGCAGCATGGGGCATAGTGGGGCAGCAACTGGTAAGAATCGTTATTTGACATTTGCTTGGGTCACAATATGTTCAGTAGTCCAAAAGGCAGTAAATTTAGTGAGATTTAGTAATTAAATTGCCCACAACAACATAGAGTCACTCCACTTTCCAGTATATTCTGTGAAGCATTTTGAGATTTCCTCCCAGAGTGTTATTATTAATTATTATTATTATTAATTAGAAGTGCAGAGGTGAAATGTGCATTTTAATATGTTCAGTATTTGTTATAATAAGTCATTGGATTTGACATAGTGCCTTGTCACGTGGTCAAGACATCTCAAAGCACTTCGCAGAATATACTGTAAAGTGGAATAAAAACAGTCGCTGGGAACACTCAGCAGGTCAGGCAGCATCTACAGATGCTTTCCAGAGAGAGGAAAGTGAGTTAACGTTTCAGAACTTGGGGATGTTGGATGTTTTTCCATAAATGCTGCCTGACCTGCTGAACGTTCCTAGCCATTTCTGTTTTATTTCAGATTTCCAACATTTGTAGTACTTTGCCTTTTTGCTTCTGCTTCACTTTTTCCTCTCCTCTCACTCCCTCCATGAACCCCTCCAATCGAGGTTTCTGTGCTGCCCACAGCACGGAAACTGCTCTGGTCAAGGTCACAAACGACATCCTGACCATGTGTGAGCAGGGCCTCTTCGACCTCTCTGCTACCTTTGACACCGTGGACCACTCAATCCTCCTCCACCGCCTCTCCTCCCACCTCAACCTTCAAGGTTCTGTCCTTGACTGGTTCAGGTTCTACCTTTCACATCGCCTCCACTTCGTCGCAGCAAACGGCTTTTCCTCCAGCCCACTGTCTCGTGCAGTGTTCCTCTGTCCTCAGTCCTCTCCTCTTCACCCTCTACATGCTCCTCTACATACGATGAACTCATCCGCAGCCATGGGGTAAATTTCCACATGTATGCGGATGACACCCAACTCTACCTCTCTGCCTTCACCCTGAACTCCAGGACTATTGAGGTCCTGACCGACTGCCTGTCCAACATCAAGTTCTAGTCGAGGGCCAACTTTCTCCAACTCAACGTCAGCAAGACCGAGGCCCTCCTGATGAGCTCGCGCCAGTGCCTCCGCATCTCAGGCACTGGCAGCATCAGCCTCCACGGCTGCACATTCAACCTCACTAAGCCAGTCAGGAACCTGGGTGTCTTGTTTGACCCTGAACTGCCCTTTCTCCCTCACATCCGCGCCATGATCGGCACTGCCTACCACCACCTCCACAACATTGCCAGACTCCGCCACTGTCTCACCCCTCAGGCTGCCGAAACCCTCACACACACATTCGTCACATCAAGACCTGATCACAGGAACTCCCTCCTCATCGGCCTTCCCAACTCTTCCCTTCACAAGCTGCAGAACATCCAAAATTCTGCAGCTCGTGTCCTCTCATGCACCAGGCTCCGCGACCCCATCACTCCCACCCTCGCCCGACTCCACTGGCTTCCCCATCCCACAGAGGATCGAGTTCAAGATCCTCGTCCTCACCTTTAAGGCCATCCATGGCCTTGCCTCCTCCTACCTCTCTGACCTGCTGACTCCCTACCAACCTGCCCGCTCCCTCCGCTCATCAGGCTCCGGCCTGCTCCATGTCTCCCGCCCGACCCGCCCTACCATCGGTGGCCAGGCTTTCAGCCTCTCTGCCCCCACACTCTGGAACTCCATCCCACGGTTCCTTTGCCTCGCTTCCTCCCTTGCCTCCTTCAAGGCCAGTCTCAAGACCCTTCTCTTCGACCGTGCCTTTGGTCTCCCTCCCACCTCTCTGTCTTCCCTCACCCCTACACCACCCCTCCCCCATGCTCATGCCCCGACAGCTGACTGTTCAGTGCTTTGGGACGTCCTCCCGACGTGAAAGGCGCTCTATAAATGTAATTTTGTTGTTGTTGTTGTTTACTGTAAAATGGATCCACTGTGCATTTTGTGAGCAAAACATAGCATCTAATCTGTGCACAGCAATATCCCGCAGCACTAGCCATGGAGTGAGTGACCAATTTTATTTGGGGGATTGACGACCAGGACACTGGAAGAAACTCCCTCTCTTTTCAAATAGTCCCATTGGTGTCTTTAACGTCCACCCGAATAGGTGTGAGAACTTCTACTATATAAAAAATAAAATAGGAATGATTGTGGGTTCAATTCCTTCTCTGTGCTGAGTTCGCTTCTGTTAGATATTTAGGAATTGAACCGGAACAAATTGGCTGTGTATCCTTTTTTTAATAAATTGCAGCCAGTAATACATATTGTACCATATGTGAGCAACATCTCTTTCAAGAACTACTCACTGCCTTACAACCAGTCACAATATGCCTGCCCACCAGAAGTCTGCTGTGAGATCAATTCAAAATAACAAGCAAAAATAGATTACTTTTATTCTGCACTATTACGATGGTAACAGAAGAGACTTAGGGAACAATGTGAATTGTTTCTTATGACCAGTAATTAGCTCACCTGGGGCTAAATTTACATTCTATAGGCTCTCAATGAGAATTCATTTTTCTTCCATTTACAAAAAGTAGCAAATTGGCTACAGCAATGACTGATTTCATAAAAATTGTGCACTAAAGTGTTTTATGGAACTTCCTTAAAAGCATTGGAATCAAAAAATATATAATGTGGCATTCAAACTGATTTATGGAAATGAGTCAGATCCAATTTTGGTTACATCCATGAGTTTCACTTAGCAGTTATTATATTACTGAACAGATGAAACGCTACTATTAGATGGACTCTTGGTTAATGTCCTCTTTCCAGGACAATGAATGTATTAATGAGTTTATTTTTGAAGGTCTGATGAAATGTACATATGTTACAAGCCCTAGCTCATCAAGTGCTCTTAAGAGCATGTTATCTTGTGCAACTGCTGAGAGCTTTCTCCCCCTGCTCAAGTGGAAGTTAGATAATTAGGGGTAACATTTTGAGTTGTTATATCATGAAGCAAAGTTACCAGCTTCCAGTTTGAGATTTTCAGGTAACCACTGCCTCTGTACAAGAGCAAACTCTTCAAGAATGCATAGAGAGGAACCACCAGCCCTCACACCCAACCCAAGGGATATTGCAGGCCACAGAGAGAGAGTTCAGCTTCATCTGACCCAATGATACTGCCAGTCAAAGAGAGAGAAAGTGTGTACACCTTCACTTGATCCTAGGATACTGGAGGCCACAGGCAAGAGACAACGCAGCTTCACCTGACCAGAGGGCTTCATCAGATGTAAGGGACTCACTCCATCTTTCCAGCTAAGAGGTGACAAAAAGAAAAGAAGTTACGACAGGACTATGATCTAGGCCACTCTCTAGATCAGGGGTGGGCAATTATTTTGGCTGGCGGGCCACATCACGAGTTCTGGTAAGCTTCACGGACCACACACTTAATATAGATGCAAATGCTTAATATAGCTCAAAATCAAGTCTTACACTTGTACATGCATAAATTAAAGTCTATATAATTGACATTCATTAAAATTAGGTTAAATAAAAACAATTCATTGAGCAGACATTTATTCAATATTTATTCATTTATTCACATACTGATGAGAATGTGAGAAGCTCACTCAATGGGAAGAATGAAAGCGCTGATGTGCATTAACCAGACAATTGAAGTCAGACATCACCTCCATTGTTCCAATGCGGAGTACTGCTGCAAGGTGGTCATCAGTCATCACAGATCTAGGTTTTGATTTATTGAATTTCATCACAGAAAATGTCTCCTCGCATATGTATGTTGATCCAAACAGCACAAGCATCCTCCGGGCATGAGCCTTTATTTTTGGAAAGGTATATTCATTTGAATTGCTCCGCAAGCAATGGATCATATTGCAGGTCAATAAGCTCGAATTGGAGGTCAAATGGGGCTTTGTCAACATCAAATGAGAAAGGTGAAGAGACCAAAGACAGGTCATTTTCGATCAAATTGAAATCCTGGAATCGGCGAGAAAATTCGGCATGTAAGTCAAGTAGTGACAAGGTATATTTTTTAAGGCTTTGATCGCAAACAGTAATCTGCTGCAAAGTTGGAAAGTGGGCGAACAGCCTGTTTCCTATCTGATGCGATAAAATAAATAATTTTGTCATACATGACTTAACACTGCAATGCAAATCGTACATAAAGGCGCCCTTCCATTGCAGTTTTAAATTCAGTTCATTCATGTGGCCCATGATATCAACGGCAAATCAGAGAGCCAATTCGCATCATGCAGCTGTGGGAAATCCGAATCTTTTTGTTTCATGTCCAAAAATCAATCAATCTCTGTTCTCAGTTCCCATACTCTTTTCAAGACCTTTCCTAAACTAAGCCATCTTACATTTGTGTGATACAGAACATCTGTGTGCTCGGATTCCAATTCCTCAAGCAGAGTTACAAATTGCCTGTGGTTTAATCCTCTTGCTCGAATGTAGTTGACCATTTTCGTAACTGTGTCCACAACATTGCTTAGTTTTAGAACACTCTTACAGAGGACCTCTTGGTGGATAATGCAGTGTAGAAAAACAATATTCCGTTCTGGATTTGTTTCTTTGACTTGATCTTGAATTCTTTTCAGTAACCCAACATTTTTGCCTGTAAGATTTGGGCTTCCATCGGTGGTCACATTCACCAATTTTTTCCACTCCACTCCTAATTTTAAGATACACTTATTTACTGTCTCCAAAACGTCTTTTCCAGTTGGTATCTTTCATTGACTGCATTGATGCCAATTCTTCTGTGAGCCTAAAATGTTTGGTGATACCTCGAATAAAAATTATCAACTGGGCTGTGTCTTTGACATCACAACTTTCATCAAGTGCCAGTGAAAAAACATGCAAAATTGCTTACTTTATTTTGTAACTGCACACTGTTTTTATTTACTTTATTTATTTTGGTTTTTAATTTATTTTTATTTTATTTGTTTTATTTTCCACCCACACTGGTAAAAAAATATTTAGAATTCCATTCTTTGTTGAATATTCGCCCTTCAGCTGCCACTTTCCGCTTCTTTGATAAACTCATTTCA